AGAAATGTGGTATCTGAACACACGTAAAAATACGATATTTTTACATGTGAAATTATTGATATTTGATAGTTTGAGAACATTTTAACCATTTATCTTGTCTTTTATATTTTTAACAAGATACCGGACATTTTTAATATTTGTACTTATTTTTTACTGTACTTTGTAGAGCTCCGAGTTTACACTGGAGTATTTTAAACAATGAATTACATTTGTCGGGTTCTCGACTATATGGCATGGCTTGGTTTATGGAATGGCTGATTCTTGTTTATATAATAAACAGAATAATACATGGACGCTTGGAGATATGGAATTTATCTTCTCGTGTTCACATTCGATATCTCACTCGTTCGCTGCGCTCACTCGTTCGACATCGATGTGAACACTCGAAGATAAATTCCATATCTCCGCGCGAGCATGTATTATTCTCTATTTATGCATTAAATAATCATTTAGATTGACATAATTTGGGTGTTTGTTGTGATGTCAAAGTTTTTGAAGCCACATTGTGGGAGACGATGTCGTAATGGCCGAGGGATTTGTTTTTCAAAAAAAAGAACTTAATCTTGATCTACGATGTTTGTGAAGTTTCCTTACTAAAATCAGTGGTTTAGAGGTAGTCTCCATGTGTCTGTAATTCAAAGTGTTCTTCCGCTTTTGAGAAAAACTACAGCGCTGATTACTACCTTTATCACCAAAACGTAAACTCTTGCAGCACGTCACGTTTGAAACAACCTCATGCCCAGGACTTTTCGCTTAGAAATGGTAGTGGCGAGAAAAGCCCTGGGTACCAGGTTGCTTTAAATGCCGTGGAAGTACGGGCCGCCTGTGTAGAGTATTTGTTATTCTATCACGTTCACTTTAGCCCGGGTTATTGTCAGTTTGTTCAAATATTATGCGTACTTTTCCTGTAATTATCAATTCTCAGCGTCTCCTTACGTAATCGCTATTGTCAACCTTCGTAATTGCGTTAGGCCTATTGCTGTCTTCAGTTAAGTATGAAAATCAGTCGTTGTATTCGGAGTGGCCGCGTTCAGTCTGGTAAGTATGGTTTTCTTGTATTTTTGCGCCGTAATTTTTCGATTTGTTGTACAATTAAGTTTTCTTTTGCCAAATGTTTTTCAATTTGCGTTTATTTGAATTCTGTATTTTCCTTTGTTAAAATATGTTTCTCATCACGGGTGAATCGTAAAGTAATGACCGCATTCGATCTGTACTTGGAGTTTAATAAGAGTAGCATAAAACTTTCCCTATGTCTTAGGAACGGATAACTATTAAGATCATGTTTTGGGGGAATTCATTTTGCATTGGAGAGTTAGAACAATCCAATTAACAACTCAGTCATTATCTTTTATCGGAAGTGAAGGGCTTTGGTAGTGCGACTCCTCTTGAAACTTTATTCTATGTATAAATGTGTGTGAAAAGTTTATAAAAGATAGCTTAAGGCCTCGTCCAAGCGTATCCACCTATTTTTGAAAACAGATTTTTCCACAAAAAAAGCCTATTTTCCGTTTTAGCCTTTCGTCCACAATATTTCCATCGTTTTAGCGTTTTCATCTGTTGTTGTTGTTGTTGTTGTTGTTGTTGTAGTTGTTGTTTGTTTTTTATGCTTTGAGTATTGTTTAAAATATTCAAGAGACCAGAAAATTAATGATTGTCTGCATGCCACGGCTATAGACATTATAGTTGAACGATCGATGATTGTCGATCAACATATTTCCGTAAAAACACCACTTTAACTCTTCAGTACACCCTCTCTTGAATGTGAAACTAATTTTCTGTACCTTATTTTTTAAGCAGTAGCCGGATAAATCTTGCCTTTAAACCTCAAAGATCCCTACTGAATAAATTGATTGTTACAATTGAAGAAAACTGGACCAAAACACATCACTAAACGCAGAAGAAAAACGTTTCAGCGTTTTGTTCTTTAGAGTATGCACTGTTTCACGTGCTGTACTGCACATTAGTTTATACGAAGGTAAAGAATACGAGGTTGATGTCGTCTAGTAAACTCTAATGTGTAAAGGTTGGGTATAGATGTCAATTATTTCTTTATAAGGGGGGAAGGTGATCCCCAGTTCCCCTCCCCTGATAAAAAAAAACTCCAGTATTAGGATCAGAATGAAGTATTCTAATGACAACTTATAAAGGCTCCTGTTAACTTATGTAACATTCCTCCCAGTCTGTTCACACAGCACACTGTTCTATAGATTAGAAGTGACTTTTATTTGTATATTCAGACTTAGATTCCAGTTTGTCAGATAACTTTTAAGACCGTTTTCTATGCTTTGTTAAAAACAGAAACCATATTCCTTGCAAAATTGAGTTTCAAGGGCAATTCTTATCAACAACTACATTCCCAGGGTCTTTTAACAATTATTACACTTAAGGCTAGAAAACCTTTTAGAAAGCACTTTGAGTTTAGGAAAAAAAATGAATCTCTTTTCAAGCTTGTGGGGGTGGTATTTCTTCCACGTAGATCCGGGACACCGAGTTCCATCCTGTGTTCGCATCAGCAGAACCGTAACTTGCGCAGTTTCCGACCCAGAATCCCACGCGCACAGTACCTTTGTGGATTTTATCGCAGACTCCCTCGACGTGACGTGGGCGGTGCAAATTTTTTAGTCTGCTGCCAGTTCCATATCTCATGTAGACTACAGCATCAATAGCTGCTGGAGCCGAGCACTCTGCGCCATTAAAAGTGAAATACCATCGCCTGCAACAGTCGTCGCAGTTATGGATGCGGAGTTGGCCACTCCAGTAGACACGCAGACTTGTGTTGTCCGACGTCTTCTTGAAAATGCATTCCTGTTGAAAGGGAAAAGCAAGAAAATTCAAGATTATCAGAGTAATCTTTTAATTTTTTTACCCACAGAGAGACAGCTCTGACTACGATTCAAATTAAAGTGGCGGATCCAGGGGAGGGGATCGGGTAACCCGTCTCCCCTTCCCCCCTCTTAATTTTTAGACCAAACTGAGGCCCCAAGGGCAGAAAAAGTATTTTTGGAGACCGCTGCCCCCACGCCCTCCCCCTTATCTCAAGGTCTGGATCCGGCACTGAATTATAACAATGCTTTCGTATGGTACAGTGGTACAAGGTGGGTTAAACTAACACTTTAATCTGTGAACAAAATCCCATGGTATTACCATTCAAAACTGCTGAGGAGTGCTTCCTTGTAAAAACATTTGATTTGCAAGATTTTACTCGATAAAATTGTAAATTTTTTGGAAGTCATAAATAATTAAAGAAATGATCGGAGCCACAAGGGCCACTGGTTCTAATCCAAGCAAATTTGCGAACAAGACCTTCAAAGAAAATTCGTTCTTTTTAAATAAAACTTCCGAAACTGACGAACTTTTTATTCTGAGGCCAACTTAGCTTTTACCTTGACCAATCCTGAGTCCCTGCCGTCGTTCAGATTCTTAAAAACGCACTGTTTCCAATTACGTGCAAAAGACCCTGAAGCCCCCTTGGGACCTGAGGGACCTTGACTTCCAGGAGGACCTGTATCACCCTTCTTTCCAGCTTGACCCGAGGGGCCTTGTGGTCCCTTGAGGCCAGGGGAACCTGCATCACCCTTGCTTCCGACTGGGCCAGCTGGTCCCGCGGGTCCCGGGTATCCTGGGATGCCCGGTATCCCCGGTGCGCAGGGTGAACACGGAGAGAAACCACAAGAGCCATGTTGGGAATTCTGTTGAGAAATTAAGGGCAGAAATCAATGAAAAAGATCAATGCATTATTTATTCTCTTTGATTTGGGGTTAATGCACTTGGTATGTTTGTTCCTTGAATAGCCCTCGAAAAACAAGTAACTAAACAATTGACAATGTATATTAATTAATAATAATAAATGACAGCTAAGAACAGTAAAACAAATTCAGACGCGAGAAGGAGTCTACTTTTGGCCGCTGACACTACATGATTCTCACTGCTAGACTCATTTGTCAAGTCCATCATTCGTTCATTCAGTTGAGCAAAAATTCAACTACTAAATTACGATTATTTCAGAATTATTGTTCAACTATTCATTTCCTGCTCATTTACACTCTTTGACTAGGGGACAATCCACTTCGATTATAAATTCTACCATTAATATGTATAGTTAAAATTGAGGCATAAAACATGTCTAGATATACAAAAAAAAGTTGAAAACGGCGTCGGATGTTAGGACAATCATTCTGACACATACTTTCATTGATTCCATTCCATTTTATTCCATTTTTTCTGGCAAATGAGTGCTTTCAACGACCGTTAACTTTCTCGATTAATCACTGATATCAAATAAAGTCTCGATCATCTGAAATTTAACAAATCAAACTCACCTTGTTGCTGCTGTTTTTACTACTCGCAGCTGAACACAAAGGGATCAACAGCAACGGTACTATCCATAACATAATGGCCGATGGTATCTTCATACAGAATAACATGATCGCAGAATCAAACTGTGGAATGAAATATATTGTTTAACGATCACCACAAAGAGAGCAGTATTTTTTATTCTTCTCAGGAAAAGTGAAGATTTTCACTTGTATTAGCCTGCAGTGCAGGCGTATTTTGGGTGGGCGAAACCTTGTTCGTGTTCGTATTGTTGTAGCCGCCATCTTTGATTTTATGACAGTGGGTAAGTGCGAGGGCGAAAGAAGGAAAGGCGGGACTCGCCCTATTTCCTTTTCTCTTCGGAAAGTTTCAACATGGCGCTTTCGCGAGCAAAAACATTTGCGCGCCCGAAGAAAACGCCTGCACTGCAGGCTACATGTATTGGCGTATTTTGCTCGCTACACTATACTTGAGGAAAACTGAAGACTACTAAACTAAGTAGTCTTGATAGTTATCAAATTCTTACTCTCAACTTTCGAATTAAAAAAAAATCAAAACAAAACAAGCCAAACAGATGACCGGTTACAGGAATCAATCATCGGCTTCCGTAATTCTACTTTTTTCAGGTTTTACAGAAAGATGGAAGAACTAATACGACTATAAAATCGTCTTTTGTAAAACCAATTTCAGGTGGTTCATGAAAATGCGAAAATAGGACGTAACACTGAATAGAAATAACTAGTAATAATAATAATAATAATAATAATAATAATAACGCGAATATTTATACAGGATAACCTATCAGTTCTAATAAAAAGAACTGTTATCAAAAGGGTCCTGTAATTATTCACATAATTAGCTAAAAAATAAAAAATAAAATCGAAAAATAAAAATAAAATCGAAAAAGGAAAATGACACTACCGCTGCTCCGCTCTGTATATTGTCTTTCAATAGTATTCTTGCTCGTTTAGTGGCTCTTTGAAATTTTCCCCCTTCGGATTCATAATCAAGATTTTCACACATATTCCATGGTAGTTTCGAAAACGAAGCACTCGAAAACGAAGACCAAAGCACGAAGCACCCAAATCTCGAAAACGAAGCACCCAAAACTCGCACGCGTTCGCATCTCCAAAGGTCGACAAAACCATCCCAAGGTTTTATAAAAGCCTGCCAATTAACTGAACGTTTCTAGATAGGATATCCTGTATTAATTTTATTATTAGTCTCGCTATACCTGATACATCTTATCTTAATATGCATTTTTTTCGGTACACATACATATTTATGTAGACTTCAAAACTGACCGTATTTTGACGTATGCAAGTATGCGCGAGCACTAACACAAAAGGTCTGAAACGAGGTTGAAAACGGAGAGTGAGGCTCGCGCGTAAGACTCTTACGCCACGCTAGACAAAGGACTAGACAAACGACGGCTTCGTGTGGGAGACTGACGCCTGATTGGCTTTTCCTGGCCATACAGTACATTTACAACACCTCGCAGTTCTACTTGAGTAGATTTNTAATAATAATAATAATAATAATAATAATAACGCGAATATTTATACAGGATAACCTATCAGTTCTAATAAAAAGAACTGTTATCAAAAGGGTCCTGTAATTATTCACATAATTAGCTAAAAAATAAAAAATAAAATCGAAAAATAAAAATAAAATCGAAAAAGGAAAATGACACTACCGCTGCTCCGCTCTGTATATTGTCTTTCAATAGTATTCTTGCTCGTTTAGTGGCTCTTTGAAATTTTCCCCCTTCGGATTCATAATCAAGATTTTCACACATATTCCATGGTAGTTTCGAAAACGAAGCACTCGAAAACGAAGACCAAAGCACGAAGCACCCAAATCTCGAAAACGAAGCACCCAAAACTCGCACGCGTTCGCATCTCCAAAGGTCGACAAAACCATCCCAAGGTTTTATAAAAGCCTGCCAATTAACTGAACGTTTCTAGATAGGATATCCTGTATTAATTTTATTATTAGTCTCGCTATACCTGATACATCTTATCTTAATATGCATTTTTTTCGGTACACATACATATTTATGTAGACTTCAAAACTGACCGTATTTTGACGTATGCAAGTATGCGCGAGCACTAACACAAAAGGTCTGAAACGAGGTTGAAAACGGAGAGTGAGGCTCGCGCGTAAGACTCTTACGCCACGCTAGACAAAGGACTAGACAAACGACGGCTTCGTGTGGGAGACTGACGCCTGATTGGCTTTTCCTGGCCATACAGTACATTTACAACACCTCGCAGTTCTACTTGAGTAGATTTGAACTGCATTCAATTCGCTATCGTGGTTGATTCCTGCTGTATTAGCAAGAGACCAGAAGAGACTTTCGAGCCAATTTATAAAGGACAGACCGGTTTCAAGTTTAGGGGTCTTCGTTTTCGAGTGCTTCGTTTTCGATAGGTGCTTCGTTTTCGAGTAGTTTGGGTGCTTCGTTTTCGAGATTTGGGTGCTTCGTGCTTCCGTCTTCGTTTTCGAGCGCTTCGTTTTCGAAACTACCCACATTCCATACAATAGGTGAGATATAAATACAAGAAACGCAAGGTTCCATGCACAGTTTCTGTTCGATTTACACAGCTTTGATCATTACATTCTCAGTTTCGAGAATAGTTTATTCTAAACCTTAAGAAAAGATTTAATTAGAAGTTGAATTTTTCTCTATTTCTCTTTCACTTTTTACATTCAGTTCATTTTATTTGCCGGCCGGGAAGTAAGCCTTAGAAGTTAAAAGGACGTTTGATCAATTCACTCTTGCACATTCTAGTCTTGTTTTAAACCATATAGCTGAAGGACATCTGTGAGCAGGGAATAAGTCAGCACAGAATTTAATTGTCGGCGAATTTCTGTAATCGTCCATCGTTCTGCTAGTGATAAGCTAGCCGTTGATCCACTCGTCTTGCTTGTTTGGGGCTGAGTCTTATTCCGGTCAAAGAGAGAGAAAGAGTGTCTGGCAAGGTTTNCTACTTGAGTAGATTTGAACTGCATTCAATTCGCTATCGTGGTTGATTCCTGCTGTATTAGCAAGAGACCAGAAGAGACTTTCGAGCCAATTTATAAAGGACAGACCGGTTTCAAGTTTAGGGGTCTTCGTTTTCGAGTGCTTCGTTTTCGATAGGTGCTTCGTTTTCGAGTAGTTTGGGTGCTTCGTTTTCGAGATTTGGGTGCTTCGTGCTTCCGTCTTCGTTTTCGAGCGCTTCGTTTTCGAAACTACCCACATTCCATACAATAGGTGAGATATAAATACAAGAAACGCAAGGTTCCATGCACAGTTTCTGTTCGATTTACACAGCTTTGATCATTACATTCTCAGTTTCGAGAATAGTTTATTCTAAACCTTAAGAAAAGATTTAATTAGAAGTTGAATTTTTCTCTATTTCTCTTTCACTTTTTACATTCAGTTCATTTTATTTGCCGGCCGGGAAGTAAGCCTTAGAAGTTAAAAGGACGTTTGATCAATTCACTCTTGCACATTCTAGTCTTGTTTTAAACCATATAGCTGAAGGACATCTGTGAGCAGGGAATAAGTCAGCACAGAATTTAATTGTCGGCGAATTTCTGTAATCGTCCATCGTTCTGCTAGTGATAAGCTAGCCGTTGATCCACTCGTCTTGCTTGTTTGGGGCTGAGTCTTATTCCGGTCAAAGAGAGAGAAAGAGTGTCTGGCAAGGTTTCTAATCAAAGACTTTTGAACTCGTTTCTGGCACTGAACTCTCCAAGTGTCTATAGTTATACCCACCTTATAACTTCATCTGCGCTTAACGAGTGTTTTTTGATCCATAACTTTCAAAACAACTGCTCCACAGATGTGTCAATGATAACATGTAACGCAAAAGAGTACGGACTGGACAGTGAATGTCACAAAATCTACCTATTGGGGTCCCTTTGGGATTTTCTGTCTTTACGTCATCTTAACCATTTCGTACTTGCGGGCGCAAGCAATAGAAACGTCATCATTACCTACCCATTCCTCGCGGCCCCTGTTCAAGCAAATCGGGATTTTTTCTGGCATGCTGACTGTATGTTTCAACTGTAAGTACTTTCCTTAATATACGCGCGAGGATGCCTCCTCGGGATTTCGCTTTCTGGGCGAAATCCCTGCGGGGGCAATAAACTGAAAAGATGTACATCATAACAAAATAGCCAACTGCCAGTAAAATATCTTCAGTTAAGCAAACACAACTGAGTGAAGTTGGTAATCTCACTTGAAAGGAACACTTCAAATTGAAAACTTACATTGAGTATTTTAAGAGCTGAATTTTTAACTATTTAGGCTCAGTCATGTAGTAAAACTAGGACGAGAAAGTACCAACCTTGCTTGTATGTCTGTAGTCCTCCGTTGCACAAAATGATGAATGGCTTAATATTGCTGATCTTTTATGTCGTTTTGCAGTCACGTTTAGCATATTGAACGTGCTAAAAAACATGATTTTTAGCACGTTCTGAGGCTTGTTATCAGTAAAATGTCAAAAAGGGCAAAATGTTATTATTGGTTAATTCACACTGAGCTGACCGATCATAAGGCGTTCGTTTAATTTGGTAAGTTGCAAGTTTGAAACACTTTTAAGGCCAGTGACGTAAAAAACATGAAAAAGGACAAAAATTCTTATTGGATAAATCATTTCTAGATTAACCAATGGTATGACGCGTTGCAAAACGTCTTTGTTTAGAAGCGTTCGGGATTTTATGCAAAAATAAGAAAACAACCCTTGTTAGTTACGTAACTTCTGAACTTAATCCAAACCCTTAATCCAAACGCTGAAAGTAAGGAAGATTTGAGGGAAAATAACTCAAAAGACGTGGCCTAAATCTGGTATAAAGTAAAGTTTTAAGCTCATTTTTTTTGGTTTGTAGGCTCAGACTTGCAGGTATCTTCTGGGATTGCAACCTACAGTATATTGTAATCTGCTATTTTGGGTACTTGCATAATTAGTGGCCGTGTCCGATGTCACGATTGTACAAGTTTAAAAAAGTTCCATGAAATTGCCACTTGAATTTGTCTCCGGCCTCTTAAGTACTTTTGAATCGAAAGAGATATATTAACACATTAACAGGGATGGTCATGCATGTTACTAATTACCACGATCAACTGGCGGGCGCCGTGGTCTTGTAACTACCTGCAGTGAACAGTAAACAATGCTTTTTTAAAAAAGTATTCTCTAGATCAGAAATTGATTCAAGCTCTCTAAGAAATGAAAATAAGTATCACTACCCCGGGATACAAAACATGTACAGGAAAGGCAACGTAGAATTTTAAGCCATCTTTTCGGCAATTTTAGAGTGAATTTCACAGCAGTGCATAAATTATTGTAACAATCAATCACTCAGGCTATTTAAAAACGTTTGACGCACAACAAAAACAAGTCATTTACCGTTTTCAACCTGTGTTAGGCTCTCAGATAGTATAGTGCGGACGTATTAAAACGAGCAAAGCGAAAATAAGACGCGCGCGACTTGGGAAAGGGGGCGGTGGCGGCGAGAAAAATGCCTCTCCCCAGCCCCTGTCCGTTTTTCGCATTTCTTTTTACTGAACGACTTTTCACCACTATCTCGGAGCCTGGAACAGGCTACCGTTTTATCTGTTCTCGGTAAGTAAGAAGCTTGCCTTTACTTTAGATCCTTGACCGAAGAAGTCTGTCTAGCCAGCTGAGGTTATGCCTTTTCGTTAATTGTCACAATCAAATCATAGCGTGATTTCTCGCAGAATGTTATGGTCACGTGGCTGTGTAACTCGTCGGTGGCCAAAATCTCTGTGATAAACGAAATTTCTATTTCTCTCCAGAAAAAAATACCCTAAATGCATGAGGTTTCCCTCCTTAAATTTCCCAAAATGCGTATCACACCGAGGAATTTGTATTGGTAATGAATCATTATTTTCACGGCATGGACTCCGCCCTTCCATATTTTCAGGCCCGGTCAGCATAGAGGGGGAGAGGGTGATA